TGTTTCGCATCCGTACATTTTGAAGACTTGAATGTTTTTGCTGTGAAAATATTGTACATGATTGTGTTTAAATCCCTATTAAAATGCTTTTCTTAACATACCAAATTTAAATTGAAGAACAAATTTTTACCGGGCTTTGTTGTTTCATTGAGTAGTATGACCACATTATGTTGCCTTTAAAAAATTATATTGTAACTGGAAACATGTATAAATGTTGACATGTTTTTTGCTGACATGAAATCAAATGGGCTAAATTGAAATATGAAGAAAATGAACAGTATTCAATCTGGAATGTCCAATGAAACAATACAAATTTGGAGCAGAGCAAACACGGACCTCAAAATTTAGAGGTGGGAACAGGTGCCATGGAGGAGCGAGCATCTCCTGCCGACTGGTCAAACCCGCCGTGTGCTCCTTATCATGATCGGGAAAAAAACCCGGAAAAAACCGTAGACAGTTCAATGTATAAAAAATAGCCTAACAATTAGTATGAAAAATGTAAGTCAGCATTTGACTCAATGATAAGTTGTATGTGCCGACAAGGTCATTGTATCGACCATAAACTTGCGAAATGATGACTTCAAAAGAGACTGTTGATATCCTTGTTTCATCAACTTATTTGTCAATAGCTTGCATAGTTTTAGTAATTATTCATACGTAGAGCATGTTCTTACGTATCGAATCAACTGAGAGACATAAACCCAATATGCAAGTGATAAGGGTATATTGCTACTAAAGTAAGGGAAGTTGACGATTGAAAAGTTGAAGTCACGTTTATCATAAACCTTTGCTGTTAGGTTACCATTAACGTCTTTTTCAAGTAAAATATCTGAATATGAAACAGATGTGTCAGACTCTGCGGTATCTTATATTTCAAGCTCATTGGGATATATCGAGTCGACATATGAATGGAAGTAACTTTTGTTAATTGATAATACGTCGTCGAAATGTCGAGTTGAAGGCCACAGCAAGTGTTTTCTTCTTCTCATGAAGGAGTTTTTGAATAAATTCTGCTTCATATGAATACAAAATTAGTTCTGAAAAGAACGGGGCGCAGTTGGTACCCATGGGAATTCCAACAGTTTGTTGCAAGACCTGATCTCCAAAAACTACATAGATATTGTCAATCAGAAACTCAAGCACCTTTTTAATATCAACTTAAGTTATAGTGTATACAATCAGAAAGCTTTTTAACAAAACAATTTTGCAAATGACCAATGAGAAGGTAAGTATATTTACGAGTTCCATTTTTATTGAAAGAGCAGCTGTCTATGGTGTCAAAAAGCTTGGACTTCAATTTAGCTTGGGGATTGCTTATATAAAGTGTTGAAAAGTCGTACGTTTTTATGTTATTAGTTTTAGTAAAATTTTGTAAGTATCCACATCTGATATATACCACTTCTCAAATATACTGTTGTACAGTACTCCCGAATTTTCTCCTTTATTACAGTATTATTTTAGTGAGGAGTAAAGAAAGAGGCTTTGAAACATTTACTGGAACCTACTATGTATCTTTATAAGGATTTTTATGAAGTTTAGAAATCCAGTAAAGGTATGGTATGGTCAATTTGATTGTTGGGAATATCAAAAATATCTATAAGGGACATATGATTCTGAAGAATTTCCTCCTAAGAAAGAGAGCTATACGGGTGTATGTTCGATTTCCACTTGCAGAACTATATCCGAGTTCTAAAATACAATTCAAATAATGAGCCTTACAAACAAAGACTATGTTGTTACCAGCTTTGTCAGCTGGGACCAGTACATACTGATCGTGAAATCTATCTAATTCCTTTTTCACTTTTGAATTATTAAAGACAGAAGGATAAATAGTTTTCATTCAGTCCCTCAATTGCTTAATGCGAAATTTCAACATCCATATGATGCTCTTAATCCATTCTGACAAAGTGTCAAGGTCTTCTTTTTCGTGTTTGGCCCATAACCTGGTGTAATCTTCCACAGAATTCATAATATTTATAAAATGAAAGAACGGGGTTCCCTAAATTTTGGCCCTTTTAAAATAAGGCATTTAAGGTCCTCATTAATAACTATGTTTACATCACCAGTAAAGACGTGTCCAGCAGGACTATAGTTGTAGGGTGTAGAACACAAACACGTAGGAGGATTATGTATCAAATGTTCGATATCTAGGCACTGTAGAGTTTTATTTTTGTAATTAAAATGTTTTGAAACAGTAGTCGATCTATATTTATAAAAAATACAAGTGTGGACTTCAACTTGAAATATGGTGGAATACAAGATTGGACCCTTTTGTGATTAAGAATATTACTAATATTAACTGCGTCGATTCCTTTGTTTTTCAAATTGAAGTTTAAGGAACAAAGGGGTTGTCTGAGCAGTATTATCTTCCGTAAAACAAAGGTGTAATATTTCCATATTTAACATTTCCATAGGTTTAAAAAGCCTATGATTTGCAATATCCACAATCACAGATCCAAGCCTGTATTCTGGTGTCGAAGAATCCAAATATGGACTTTCCCTTAACCTTTTCAAATAGACCATATAGAACCTTCAAAGAGACAGAGTAAAGCTTGGTGCGAATGTGATGGAGACCTAATTGTTTATTTACATATGGTAGTACTCACCAATACCGATGAAAAGAAAACATCACTCATCATCACTTGAAAGATTTTAAAATGCATAAAATGAAAACAAATCTCGACAGTCAGATAAAATGTTTTCATTGTATATTTTATAAACAAACCACAAAAACGATGTTGGTGAGTACTATAAACATTGTAATATTGATAAATTGTGAATTTGACATTTTATTCGCTTTGCAAGTATCGAAAATCAACCCGAGAATGCTGCCTCTGGTTGGAGGCGGCGAATTCCCAGTTTTCTTTATGGCGCCGGTGTAAAGACGAATAATGACCCCCGTAGAATTATGACCGTGGGTCATTTTCCGACGTCGAAAAATGACTCCCGGTCATTATTCGACGTAGAAAAATGTCCCTTTCGCCTGTAGAAAAAGTGGCATCACCCTTAAAATCTGCATACCCTACGTGAATAAAAATGACCCCCGTAGAATAATGACCCCTGGTAGATTTGAGCAGAAATATATATTTTGGATTAAAAAAATTCAGAACTAATGAATCAAGAGGGTCATGGATCAAAATGCTCACCTGAGGTAAATTGAAGATATAACGATGATCTGTCGTTGTCATTTAATCTTTCAAATGTCTTTTATGGTGAATTGACAATGAACCTTATATGTGGAAATGCTTTCATTCTGATTGTCTTATATATCATTGTTTAAAAAAACTAACTTTTTTTTTTATTTTCGCTTATACTATCCAGAGTCCAGAGAGAGAGAGAGAGAGAGAGAGAGAGATGTTTACAATGTCTATCTATCGGTTAATTAAGTTGCGTCCAAATACCTTTTTAAGTCAATGATTTAAATAGTGTACATACATGTAATTTTCGGACAAATAGCAAAAGTGCCTCACAATTTTTAAAATAAGAAGAATTACTTTTTTAGAGACTTCTAAAATAACCGCCGTCACGGTAGTTCAGTCGGTAAAGCGCTCGCCGTGAGTTCGAATCTCGGCAGCGACTGACCTGAGTCGATAAAAAATAGGTAGCAACTGTTCCTTCGCCAGGCGCTCGGCACTTTGAAGTGAAAATTGCAGGTCTTTCGGATGAGACCTTAAAAACCGAGGCCCCGTGTCACGGCAGGCGTTAGCACGATAAAGATCCCTCACTGCTCAATGGCCCTAAGTGCCGAGTATAGGTCAAAATTTGTAGCTCTCCACCGGCAAGTGGTGGCGTCTCCATATGAGTGAAAAATTCTCGAGAGGGACGTTAAACAATAAACAACCAACCAACCATTTGAATAAGTGATATCACCTATTCGAATAGGTGATATTACTAAATGGCAATAAATACCAATGCTGCGCCTGATACAATAGAAATACACAATGATCCATAAATGATCCTGTAACGAAATTTTTGTACCTCTGCCCGTTAATTCACTCGTTCGTTGTGAGAAAAAGATTGTCCAACCGTTTCCATGGCAATGGAAAAAGTTTTAAAAATCTTAAATGTAAATGTAAACGCATTTGTGAAGTTTCACAAAGATTTAACAAGGCAACCGTGAAAATATTAGTTGACAATTTTTCCCCATGACAACGGTGGTCAGTTTTAAATATCAAAATGTTTAATGAATATCTAGAGTAACTGTACATGTTGATGATCGTCATTTCTGAAACGTTTCATTAAGTTTATCAAAGTCATGTCCGAGAAAATGTTCAGACAAAATAATTTAACAGGTCTGGCGATAACAATATATCTATTGTGCAATTTTAATTTTGGGCTTACGCAATAGGTCTAATAGAAATAAACATATGCAATGTTTTTAAACAAATTTTAATTGCTTCTTCGTCTAGTATTACATGTAATCAGATAAAAACGCAAGAGAATCCAAACCTTGGCATCAATAATCTACGGCTAGGGGGTCATTTTTCGATGACACCCCCCCCCCCGGTCATTATTCTACGGGGGTCATTATTCGTCTTTACACCGGTTCTGACGTTTTCCTGGCACGTAAGATATCAAAATCGTGAAAAAAAAACCTGGAAAACTTCAGATATTTCGGACTATAAAATACCAACAGTCACCTAAGAACGAGTTGTCGAAAATTGACTACTTCCGGCAGAGATCAACGCCGACAGGTAGACTTCATGTCAGAGAAATGTCACCTGACCCGTCTAAAAATTATGTCTAAATACCAATTTAATGCTTAAAGTAAATGGGAGAAGGAATAAAAAAGGAAAGCATCCTGAAAAAAAAAATAAATTTCACTGTTTTATTTATAACATCTCATTTCACTGTTAAATAAAGTTTAACGAACGACAGTAAATAAGCCAATAATTTTGAAATGTTTAATAAAATCTACATGGGAAAAAAAATGTTTAAAACACACATTAATAAAATTAAAGCTTTTCAACTTTTACATTTAGACGTTTTCTATAATATTGCTACAAAGCACTTTCAATTGATTTGTCTCTTTTGAACATGACCCTCGATTCCGGATGAGAGGATTCTCCCGTGGAATGTCGGGACCGGGGGGACCAGTGTGTACCTCGCGAACTTAAAGATAGTCGGGACAAATGGAAGCTACTCGTCCGATCTCTTAATCTTGGTAATGGGGAGTGAAATTCCGTGCAACTCCTCTTACAATGGCAAAATATGTCTGTCAGAGCCGTCTTGAATTTAGCAGACATGACGTTATAGATAATGGGATTTGATGCACTGCTGATGTACATGAGGACTCGAGGAAAGGTAATCAGGTTTAGATAACCTTCTAGTCCTAAAGATTGTAGCTCTCTGTGGTCTGCAACAATGATCCAAATTCCCACAATTCTCTGAGGAAGAAGGCACAAGAAGAATGTGACAATGACAATAATTAACATGAACACGATTCTACGCCTTCCCGATACTGTCTTCTCAGAATCCTGCTCCGCCCGGTCCTCTAGGAACTGCGCATGCCATAAGAGTTTCTTACACATCCGGAAAATAAAATAACACAAAATCATCAAAATTACGATAAAAAAGAATATAAAGATACCCAGAATATAAGCAGTTTTCCATGGACTGTTGATTGGCATTCTGCAAACTTTTATGGGTGTTCCGTCGAAGAATTTTGAGTCTCGATAAATGGCGATGAATGTTATGGGTAGACTAGCAGCACCAGCTAATATCCAAACTAAAAAGACAACGGTTGGCACCCTGAGATTTGACCAGAAACAGCCCGAACTCATGGGATAACAGACCCCTCTATATCTGTCGTAAGTAATCACCAGAATCGTAAGGACTGACGCCAGTGACACCAGGTGTTCCACAAATGGCACAAACTTACCTGGAACACAAAAAGTCTACATATTTATCCTGACATTTTAGTGCTAAATGTAGAAATCTAGATGATTTCATACTTGATGATGTTTTAGAAGAATCGGGAGCAAATAATCTACTGTCCTTCATAGACTAAGATATTGTTACAAATGAACCTTGCAGTAATCATTTTGGTAAATAGCTGATTCATTTATGTATAACTCTGGATTACAAATTGTAAATATTAGCAAAGAAAAACACTGTAATGGGGCTATCACTTTTTATAACGCAAATGGTATTAGCACTATTATCTGACCTACGTAAGAAGTCTACGAGGGGTGATCAAAAAGTTCGCGAACTATCTCTATGTTTACAGAACCACAATTCAGATCAGAATGAAATTTGACACACATAATAGTCATACATATTTTCTGTAAATAGCACGTGTTATGTAATGTTTCGCTCCATGTTTGTGACGTCACAATATGAAAATGACGTCAATATGTAGGTGACTTGTGACAAAAAATGGTTTACTCAGTCGTACTCGAGCAACGAACGGCTGTAAAGTTTAACGGTGTATCTTGGAAATTTCTTTGCAGTAGCATATAATAATTTGTAAAAGGTTAATGAAGACCAAAGACTTGCCAGAAGTTTAATCATTAATTGGATCGATTGTTTTAGTGAAGAAAGGGAGATGGTTAAAAATGACGTTTGTTCTCTTGCCCAGTGAAAGCAAGCGGGGAAAGAGATATGTCCTTAGTTGAGCAATTCGTTATGAAAGATCGCCAAGTTACAGTTAGAAAAACAGGTAATATCTTAACAATAATATAATTATTGAATCCCTAAAATATCGTTTACTTTGGACTATAAACATATCAGGTATGATAAAAAGAATGCGCCCATACTCTATCCACATTGGATAAACGACGCTCCCAAGAAGACTCGGGTTTTGATGCTCACCATGCTCATTCAGGGGATGGATATCCTTATCCACCCATCCTATTGCCGAGATTTGGCTATTTTTGACAAATGGACTGTTCTTCTTTTAAAAAATTACTTGCATGGTAAGAAATATAAGACTTGGAAAAATCTTTCAGCTTCTGTGAACAGTTATAACACTACGCAGCATGTCAGGTGACCGCGCATGGGCAGAACGGTGGCAGATGTGCATTAAAATCGGAAAGGACTACTCTAAAAAATAATGAACACTGTAACCTAATTTTATATCTTTTATGGAAGTGTATAATTTAATTACTACTTACTAGTAGTTCGCGAACTTTTTTATCACCCCTCGTAGATATTGTTTTTCATTTTTGATATTTTTTTCTGATTATGAACTGTCCTTCATATACTAAAATATTGTTTCAAATGAATCTTGCAGAAAAAGCATAGATAGGGCAAGTAATAATTTTGGTAAAAAGTTGTTCCATTATGTGCAACTACTGGATTACACATTGTAAATGGTAGAAAAGAAAAATATTTTAGTGATGCTATCACTTTTTACGGTATAATGCAAATGATACGAGCACTATAGATTATCTGTAAGTAGACTAGATGTAATTTTTGATTTTTAATATTTTTTTCTGATCACACACCACTCATTTTTATCATTTTCATAAAATGTCTTCGATACGGGGGCATAAAAATTAACAACGCCGTAATAACTCCTTGGGGACGCAGCTTAGTGTGACAGAGCCTTAAACAAACCACCTGTATAGATTTCTTGAGCAGTGGCTCTTCCTTCAATAAAATATAATGACGTCCATATCAATTATAATATAAATTCAATATAATATATAGTACTTAAACTTACTTTATTTGATTATTCAAACAGGCCTAAATATAAACAATAAAATGTATTAATTGCAGAAAAATATCCTGAACCCTCTTAAGCAAGTAGTGAAATTCATCTTTAACTTGATAATTGCACAAATAAGACACCCTTTTATTTCATTCAACATAATATTATTCCATCTTAGCTGGAGGTAGATCAATTAATTATTGACTTGAATCCTTGCGGAAATAAACATAAGGTGTTAATTGAAATGAGCCAAAGGTGCTTTTAACTAACTTTCTAAAAATTTTCATTTTATCCAGCATACTGTAAACAAATAAAACACTAAAATGGTTTGATCTGCATACGTGCAGCTAGGGGACATTTGATGTGGACACATGGAATGCTAGCTGCAGAACTGTTGCGTTATGGTTTTATAGTTTAGTCTTTGACCATAACGCTACAGATCCCGTCATGTAAATAAAGTGCAATTAATTTACGGTGCAAAATTTTCTGCGCACTTTGAGAATGTATTTGGCCATTTTCCAGCATTGGTCAATAAACGACCTTTCATTCCCTAATTCTAGACATATTCTATAACCAACCTGAATATTTTATCCACCTCCTAACCCTAAACATAGTCGTCTCTACAGACCAATAAACTCGCTGGCTGTGAATTTTATGCCATCCGACAACAATTACATGTAGTTGTGAAATCGTAAGGGGCGGGGCCATGGACAAAAATACTAAATGTCTTAATTTATTTTTCAAAACTAGATTTGTTTAAAGTAATATTGTACACAAAAAGACGTTAAAGATTAAAAAGAATATAATATTTAAAAATATTTCATGTCTTAAAAAAGAGATCAAACTCCTTTTTAAAAAGTATATTAATTGTATTTATTTTGCTTAAGTTAACTCATATTTGCAAGCCAAGGGTTTTTAGTTCCTCTTCTCCAAAAACCCTTGGCAGATTTCGCCAATGAAACTTTTTTGCACCGATTATAGCCACCCTTCATCTTTATTCTCCTATGTTGATAAACGTTTTATTACTTTTTGTAGTTCTCCTACAATTACTATCGTGAACACATTCATTTCTTGTTAACAATGGATGCTGTGCTGCAGTTCAAGGCTGTCGGAACAGGGGTGTGTTGGGTGCGATCGCACCCCCTTTAAAAAAGTAGCTAGAGAAAATATTTTATTTATTTAATATGTGAAAATGCACCAGAACGATCAAAACGGTACCCATTTCTGGCTTAGAGGAGAAACCTGGTGACGACCCTGAATTTGAAAGCTATTATTACTTCTGATCTACAGAAATACTCTCTTGGACGGCGAGGCGGAGTCGATAAAAAGAAAAAAAATAAAATTTTTCAGTGGATGTAAATATTCTTAGAGGATGACACTTAGAACTGTGGGTTGTTTTTTTTTATTTTTAATCTAAAGTTGAAAATGATTACATGTCAGCACTATTAGAAACTATAGACTGACTTCAAATTTGAATTCACATTAACTTTAATTGTGTATTTCTTTTTAAGCTCTTTCAAGAAAGCAATTGCCTTTTCATACCTCTCTTGCAGGCTTGAAAAGTACTTCCCACTTGTTGGAAAGGCCAAAGATGCTGCGATTAATTGGTAATTAACACGGAATATTCAAAACTCAGTGGATTTAATATTTCGGCTGTTTACAATATTTGGAAATAAAAGTGAAGTAATTAAAAAAAGCATGAATTTATTCTTTACAAGTAAATATCTAGTTTAATTTTTATGTCTCTCTCTCTCTCTCTCTCTCTCTCTCTCTCATTGCATCGCTGATTTTTTTTTTTCTAATTTTGGTAAAGGTTAAATTTTGGTAAAATCAACTAGTATCAAGAGCTGCCTTTATCAGTAAGAAGTAATAAGAATGGGAAAGGTCACTTACACATGAATTCTCCAAGATACCAAACTTCTTTCGCAAAAAGATCGATGGCGGCCGACGGCATGCAAACAAGGAGAACAAGGAGATCTGCCACACTTAAGTTTGCAAACAGAAAACTCATTCGGGATCTTACACGTTTAACAGCGCAGACGACGACAACGACTGAGATGTTGGCGATGAATCCAGCGATGAAAATGAAGGAATACATTACACTTGCAACGATGATGATATACTTTGGTGGTTCTGGAATGGAGAACACATAAGAAAAATTTCTGGTGTGGTTTAATATCGTCGTTGAATTTTCACTTGCGTTTTCCATCTTGTTCATTTAACAATGTTATATTGTTTCCATAGTCTAAGCAATGGCAGCGACAATTAAATAACGTAAATGACCTACGCAGTAGGCATAGCAGTTCTCATTGGTTCTTCAGCTAACGCCTGTCTTTTGAATTTACGTGTAAATCAATATCAATTTATGCCATATTCAAGAAGTTTTACAGGTGCATGTGACATCCGTCAGATGTAGATGCGGGGATTGTTTCTAATTACGTATAAAGCTGACGATTATGACACTGAGTGTGTTTCTACAGGTCACCCCTAAATGTGTTTAAGGACTTTTCCTTTGAAGGGAATATTCATATATATTTACATTTTAAAAATTTATTAATCAATTTGGACATTTTCAGTCTTTCTACGAAGATTGCATTCAATATTATAGACAACGTTAGAAGAATTATCACTCAGATCTTCACATGCTTTACCATTATTTATTTATTTATTTAATTTATTTTGACAAAAACCACATGTGGCGCAAGTCATACATACAGTAAACAAATATAGTCACATAGATTTTCTTATATTACATGCAACACGTATGAGATTACAAATATTTCTTGTTGAATTAAGAATTTCGTAAGATAAACATGTAAGTGTTAAAAAGTGTACAATATTCATTTAGTAGTTGTTTATAAGGAGGACATACAAATAAAAAATGATGTTCATCTTCAACAACAGTTTGACAATTAATACAATATCTTTCATCTCTTGGTATAATTGGATTAAAATATCTGCCAACCTCTATCTGTGATTCGTGGGCACTTATTCTTAACCGAGGCAAAGAAGAACGATTCTTGGAAATGGAAAAATTTAAGTATATGGTTGAATTTCAAGCTTGTTTAGATTCTGTGGACTTATTAACTGGCTGTAGAATGACAATTTTTTATTACCTTTTTCTTTGATAGTTCTAATGTCCCTGAAAACTATATTCTCAAAATACTTTTTCAAATTATTTTCAAAATCATTTATAGATAATGTATTAGCATCATCCTCGCAATGTCATAATCAAGGTTTTGTGATTTCGCAACTCCACACAAACCCTTGACATAAGTCGTTATTTAAAAGTTAGGTTACACATGACGTAATGGGTAATTATAAGCTAACCAATGAGAATATATTTTTCAAATCCGTCGTTTTTGAATGGCCCAACTCCAGAGCATATCTTTTGTGATTGTTAGGAGGACGATCTTCCAAAAATTAATCCCCGATGTTTCACTAGGTAGTCACAAATCCTACAATATCGACACTTTCCATTTTATAAAGACGAGTCATATTTGTTTACAAAACTTACCTGCAATAAAAGCTGTTTTCTAATTGGTTCCAGTCCTAGACCAGGAACAAATGAAATAGTAGCTTTCTAGCCCAACTTTTAAATAGCGACTTTTGTCAAGGGTTTGTGTGGAGTTCCGAAATCACAAAACCTTGACATTGTGAGGATGTATTTATTGTATTAGCATTTGAACCAATACCTTCATCAAGTATTCTTCGAAAACAAATTTGCCAATATGTTTTTCCATTTCCTGCAAGTTTTTCATCCTCTAAATATGCATGTTGTAAAAGCAATTTTGAGTTCTCCTGATCTGAAACAATTTCCTGTAATCTGTAATAATATTTAAATAATAATTTATATATTCTGAAAATAATGGGAAGTGCACCAAACTCTAACTGCTAAATTAGAAGCTTTATTATGAACCCCTAAATGTCTTTTAAGTTTAAATTTTGAATTTTTTTCAAATGGAGTTTTGTCAAAGTCTTTTGTCATATTTTAAAACTTTGTCCTGTGAAGTTGTTATTTAAAAAATTTCTGGTTATCAAAATATCACGTTTTACATTTTGGTACAACATTTGGAAATAGAACACATTGTCATGTGTCCAAATATAAGTGAAGCTGAGCTAAACACAATTTTTGTAAAGTAAGTTGAAGGTCAAAGGAAAGGTAAAGGTCAAAAACAGACAGACGGAAGACGGACATGACAAACAATATATATGCCCCGTCCATATTTGGGGGGGGGGGAGGAGGGGGGCATAAAAATCCTTGATGGAATAACTATAATTAAATCAGTGGCGTCCAATCATTTTTTTTTTCAATAAAGCATGTTTTAATAAGTTTTTCCTGGAATGTGGCCCTAAATTGCACTGTATTTTTATACTTATTAAGGAAGCTCCTGTCCTTAGAAGAAAAATAGAATAAATATAGGAATCTACAGTTAATGATCTATTTTGTAATGAATTAAAATATAGTTTTCTTAACGTTATATAAGACCAAGATTAAGTAATTGAATACATTATTTCTACTTTTTTCCCAATGTAAATAAACAACAGTGATTTCTGTTATCAAATATTTCACTATCTTTCAACCGTATTCCTGAAGAAATAAGGTGTGTACCCTATGGTGAAAATAAATTAGATACACGTTAAGTAAAATTTGCTCCTTTTTATGATATATTGTTCTCATTTTTCATGAGTGTTTAGGGCTTCCTTTAGGGTATTGTGATTATCAAGACAGATTTGATAGCTCTGATTATGACAGAAATGTAGTATTCAAACTTCTTTGAACAGCATAATACCACCGATATAGCTCTGTTCATGACGTGATAACTCTTTCCATGTCGAGACGTATATGTAATTTTCAATAAATATTTATATTATGGGATATTAGCTGTTAATATGTATACATTTCTGAGAGACGCACTTTCTTTGATAAAATGTAACTAAATGTTGAGTTCTGTTGCTTAGAAGTTATATTTTATCTAACATTACACATCACTGAATATATTGAACTCGATCTAAAAAGACGTTCTGTTGCTGAAGCATATTATTCATCTAGTATATGACGTCATTCAAGTTAAAACATCATAACGTTTTTTTTTTTGGGGGGGGGGGGGGTTGGGGGTTGGGGGGGTTGTTTTGTTTTGTTTTTTTTTTTTTGGGGGGGGGGATTATAGACTCGTTAAACAACTTAACGAATTTGAAAGCAGCTTTATCAAAGGTTCTCATATTTCGACACATACGACACATATACACTCGACGCTTGTGGCCTTTGGACATATCTGTAGATGTCACACCCGCTGTCACATGATAACAGGCAAAAGGGTGCTAAAACTCTTGATATTTTTTGACTCCCTCATACAATTTGCAAATAGATAAATAATAAAAAAAAATTACGGATTCTTGTCTATGTTTCGAAAGGTTGTGATAATCTGAAGCGTTAACTCCTAAGTTCTGTCTGTGTTGAGGATTCTGGAGCAGAAAGATTATGAACCTGTATTGGTGATATAGTTGCTATTCTATGAAACGGGACAAAGAAAGCATTGTTCAAATTAATGACATTATGCATTTACTAGAGTTGTAATTTTTCTACTGCGGTCTACATTACTTTACAAGGATAAGCAGAATAGAAACTTTGTAAAAGAGGTAAGATTTATGATAGTCGACTTTAAAAAACGATATATAATTATTAAACAATTCAAAATGTTTCTCACGTCGAAATATATACATTGAGTGATCTATATGTAGCGACTATAGTGTGTGGCCTTTTCATTTGCATACTGGAAACTTTATTTTTTTGTTGCTTATGATCAAAATCTAGTCTAATTTTTTTTTTCATACAGAACTGTATTCGGCATATATCCAATATTAATTCATATCAAACAATTTGCAGTCCCTAATTAAAAAGGACTGCAATATACTATGCATGGACCATAAGCATGACTGTGTTTCTAACATGCAGAAATCTAAAAATAATATGAGTGTAATGAAAACATGTGTTGTTAGATAGATTTCCTTCGCCTTAAAACATGTAATGAAAAAGGTGAAGATAACGAACAGTGATGGATTTAAAAAAAATCCTGCAGACAATACAAATCTATGAAAGGGCATAGATCATACGGATCTCTGGAAATTCCAGAGGAGGGATCAGGTGCCTAGGAGAAAACATCCCGTGTCGACCGGTCACACCCGCCATGAGAACTATGTATAGACGGAATATTCCGTAGTCAAATTTAGTATAATAACAAAGGTCTAACAATTGGTGTGAAATATAACAGTTATACGTTATATTTAATTGCTAACAAGGTCATTATAACGACCATAGAATTATTTACGACATGCATGCTGACATTAAAAAATGTTGTTGAAATCCCTGTAACATTAACTTATCTGTCAGTAGCATGCCTCGGTTTAAAAAATTGATCGTACTCAGAGCATGCTCTTGAGAATCGAACAAGTTAGGAGACATATACACCATAAATTATGCAGATGATAGTGGAATATGGAATATCACTACATAAACAGGGAAAGTGTTAAAGTAGCCTAATTGCTAAATATATGCCATAATAAATAATTAATAGAAGCACGGCCTGGATATCAAATATATTATATATAGACTTAACCCTTAACCCCGGGTTAAAGGGGGATCATCTCTATGTATGTATTACAATTACCATTCATATGATTGAAAATTGCATATGATGCATTGATCCAACATCTCTCCCAAGCAGAGTTGCCGTTTGTTACTCTTTCGGACACCGATATCAATCTATTCTCAAAAGAGTCTAATATTTCCAATGTTTTACTGAGCATTCATAAAAGAAATCGATGTTTGATCGCAGACTGAGATATTGGACCTGTCGATGAGATATTGCACAGCTAACATCACATATACTAATTACATCGATATATCGTTTCGTTTCTTTCCATAGTAATAATTATAAAACAGCAACACGAGTTAAGGAGGAACAGGACCGTGAGCTGAAAAAAATCTAGTCAATCATTTTTTTTCATATTTTGTATATTTTTAATTTAATATGTCGTACATATCTTAAAGCCATCAGATTTCTTGACTTCTTTAAGAGATATTGCCATACAAAGGATAACTGCACTTAACACTGGGTTTGGGGTCTTTTCCCGTCGCTTCTGCTGCTTTTATATCTTAACCTTATTTCACTTTTGTATATTTACTATGGAATTCTATCAATTTGACAC